GAATCTATCGAGATATTGTGTGCCACGTGCGTGGAATGGAATAATATATTGTAGGAATTTTATCGATGCGTGAAAGATGCGATTATATTTCAATTTCCTTTTTTTTTTGTTCTATGATATTATAAAATGTATCGAGTGAAAAAGAGACTAGATATGATCCAATAACTATGTAAATGATAAAATGATTGTTCAATTCTTCTTCTTTTAATGGACGAAGAAAGACGAATCATCGAGAGAAGAATAAAAATGGCCACTTGAATAATGAAAAGCTCGCCTAGCTTAAAATATTATTCTTTTAAAGTCGATATTAATCAAATTGGAACTCAATGGTATAAGAATAAAATATTAATATTCATATCGGTGTAATTTAATTAGGAAATCCGTTCCATAATAAATTTACGATTTATTATACGATTAACGTTCCTTCGTTCTCTTCCCCCTTCGTTTCATCTGGTTTTCCAGTTCCAAGGATCGAAACAGTCATCCTTTCCAAAGTGGATTTCTTCAGGGCCGATCACACCCTATCGATTATTCGTATCGTGGCCGATGTATCGTCGGGGACACACCACGACACACACATACACACACACACACACGTGTCATCCCCCTTTTTACGAGTGAACGCGCCGCGTCGAATCGTTAAGTCGGCGGAATAACCACGGTTTCTCTTTACGACCAACATCAATTTGTTATTGCCCCTTCCACGCGAAGATTTATGCGCCCTGGAATTACGAGGCACCGCGTTCCCGCTTAGCGGCTACGCGCAAATCATCCATCGACAGTCCGTGTCAGTTGTGCAAGGGGTGAATATGAAGGGAGGGTGTTAAAAGTAAATCGTTGATTCTTTTTCTATCAAAAGAAACATGCATATGAAGGAAAGATGCTGCGTGAATACAGTGAATTAAAGATTGATAAGGAATATATAGAGAAAAAGGGGGAAGGGAAAAGTAGATATAAATTTTATTAATTTTTATAGAGGTTTTTTCATGGAGATATTGAAAAAGATTCCAATGATGAATAAAAAAATAGCAATAGAATTAGATGTAGAATAATAGATAAATGTAGAGGAGGAAAAATATCACCCGAAAATCGTTCGTATGACGACTCGTGAAAGGAATTCTAATGGCAGGGAGAGAAGCGGTGCATGAACGTCTATAAAATGAAATTTCAGCGATAAAAACAGGGGCGTACAGAAACAACAGCCGATTTCACGACCTCGTTGCATCGTGGAACCTGCTATAGCATCCCTCTCCCCCCTCCCATTTCCATTCACCGCGAATAAATAAATGAATAAATAATATATACGGTGTACAAAGTTCCTTTGGTTTGATCTTCCTCTTTTTTTTTATTTTTACCTTTTTTTTTTCACACAGGCCGTCTGTTTCGCGAGTCGAAGTTCAAAGAGAAGTTGCCCCGGACGAATATCGAGTAATTTTGTCGCGTTCGAAATAACGCCGCTGAATATGCAACGCAGCGTTCTCTGCCGATAGAATAAGGGAACTAGACGAATTTTGATCGTTTAGCATGCAAATACTGGTGAAATTCAGACGAAAGCCTCGGCCCCCTCTTTACGGATGCGCTTTCGTTATGGAGGACAAAGAGAGTTTTAAAAAAGTTCACCCTTTATCCCGTTGGCTTAAGGTTGGCAGGGCTTTATTTTTTCCTTTCTTTTATAGTCACGATCAACTACTGCATTGATTTTCCAAACGATTCGATAAACGACGACGAGATATAGGTCGACGAAATAAAATTATATAAAATTGGGAATGAAAAGTTGGAAATCTGGAACGTGTCTTCATCTTTTTATATCAAATTCATTCATTGCTTTAAAAGTTTTAATTTTCATTATATTTAATTCTCTTAGAGAGAAGTTTAAAAAAAGTTTAAAAAATTCTTCCAATTCTTCTTCGATTTTACATCGATTCCTAAAATAAATCAAAAATAACGTTTGCATCTCTGGATTTTTCTAAACGATGACATTTCCATTCTCATAAAAAAGTGTCTCAATTATATTCAACGAACACAATTCCGTAAACTCTCCATTTAAAAAAAAAACTCTCCTTCGTTAAAAAAAGCACATCCTTTCCCACTCCAATCCGCAACAAACAATCCACAAAATCACCCGAAAAACACGTACATTCCCCCTCCCTCCCTCTCTCTCCTCAAAAAAAAAAAAAAAAAAAA